AAAAGGCCATTATTCTACATACTATGGGGGTCCTGGTAAAAGTTAAGACTAGAATCAAGAGTTCAGAGCTTGAACTGCAGAGCCCCTCCTACAGGTTAAACTTTTTGGTCACTTATTAAATCAGGCCTCAGGGATTAGGGTATTTAGGTTGGATACTGCCCCCACCCAGCAACAGTTGGATAATAATTGTGATATGTTTATAACTAGCCTTTAATAGGACCCCTGATATAGACTGTTACTGGGTGGGGCAGTACCCAATATTTAGGGTGCATAGGAAGCCTAAACCTAAGAGCCAGGCTAACAGCAGCCGAGTATTTATGTTAGCTTGAAACTTATGGTCTTCCCAGTACCGACAAGCCAAGAAACCGAGGAACGGTACATACCTTCCCCCAGATCTGATCAGAAGGCATATCTTTTGTAGCGCAACATACCGTAATCCTTACACTAGGAAATGCCCCTTTCAACCACCAAGAAAGTGATGTTCATGAACCCTAAACCCTAAGCCGCTCTAAAGCAAGTGGAGAGGGAGATGTAAGCTAAACCCTAAGCCCTAAAACCTAAACCTACACCCTAAACCTAAACCCTGTCGATCCAAGGGCCTCCACCTTCTCCTCTTCTGCCGCCTCAGCACCTGTGCTACGGTTAAGGTTTCGGGTTTAAGGGCTTAAGGTTTAGGATTTATCCAGGCCCAATCCCCGGAAGACCTGTTACCCAGCTGGATAGGAGGGAGTCTTGCACCATCCAATATGCCTGAAACGTCGAGATTCTTCGCATGGAAGTGGACGGTCATTAAAGGCACGGTTTGGGGTTGTTTAGGGAGCAAATTTCAGGGCTGGGAGGTTGAATGCCACAACCTGGTGGGGCCCAATGTGGCTTTACAGGGTTTAGGGTTAGGGGTTTACGGTCTAGCGCTCAGGGTCTAGAGTTGAGGGCTTGGCCTTAGGGTTTATAGGATCTATAGAGCTTAGGCCTAGGGATTCAGGGTTTAGGGCTTCGGTTACTACAGTTAGCTCTTTCTCATAGTTCAGCTGCCATAAACCGAAACCCTGAAATGATCAGTGACAGCAAATAATGGCAGAACGCACAGAGCACGACAATCCCAAACGGCCTCTGCACCCGAACCCCCAAACACTAAACCGCGTACCCCGGCGTCAGGCTCACAAGCCTGTGCTGTCTCAGAAGCAAAAACCGTTTCAGTCAAAGCATTTTCGTAGCCCCAACCTCCACCCATCAGGACCCTATACTTTTGGAGGTGTGGGATTACCAGAACCTAAACCCTAAACTTTTTAACCCTAAACCGTCAACCCTAAACCCTAAGCCCTACACCCTAAACTCTTAACCCTCAACCCTTAACCCTGAACCCAAAGCCCTAAAGCCTAAACCCAAGAATCCCATCATCATAGGAACTGAGAGAGGATGGCTCTGGCCTTTCCCCGACGAGCCTCGGACAGTTTCAGGAGCCGTAGAGGTCAGCAGAAGCCCCAATTCTCGACCACCTTAACCTACCAAAATCTACCTGTTTGTAGGTTCCCTATAAATTCGATATAAGGGATTAAAATATAATAGGACCCTACAAAAAATGGGTTTTGGTAGGTGTAAAGGTAGACGCTAGATCCTGAAGCCTACTGCTGATACTACACCCTAAGCCCTAAAACCCGAAGCCAAAGCTCCTACATGACCGTAGTTCATGACGATAATAACCAAGCTTCCCTGCATGTTTCACCTGAACAGTATGACTACCCAAATTCCTCAACCCTGAACCCTTCACCATTCCAGCGAGCCTAAGCCCTAAACCGTGGCTCAAAACCCTGAACCTTAACCAGCGCCTCTGCGCTTGCGCTCCCAGCCGCCGGAGACTTCCCGCCTTTTAGGGTTTAGGGTTTGGCTGGCGATCTCTTTCTCTGTTCCCTGGGTTCAGGGTTTTCTGTTAGCTTGGGCTGTGGGCTTTTTATCGCCGAGTATTTTCCTTACAACATAGGCCAGACACAGACACAGACACATAGAGAGAGAGAGAGAGTGAGTAACTAACCCCAAGGGTCCAAGGACCCAAATAATAGGGTTTGAGGGCCCAAATATTATAATATTAATGGTATTTGGGCCCTAAAACCCTATTATTTGGGTCCTTGGACCCTTAGGGTAAGAGAGTGAGTGAGGAGCCGGAGCATCTCTACAGACTCGCCGGAAAGTCTACCATACCTGTGAGGGTCTCTTGTAAATCAACGTGTTTTTTTGTTTGCGGGTGTGTAGAATGTAGAACCTCAACCCTACACTCTACACCCTCAAACAAAAAACCTACACCCTAAATAGTAGTTTCCATTAAGATTTCCATCCTAAACCCTAAATAACAGTTTCCATCAAACTTTCCATCATCCCTAAGATAACCCCAAGTTGTAAAGGTCAAGCCCATGGCGCCTCAGAACTGAGCCATAAGGAGCGGAGAGAACAGCTTCCACCGGGATGGCAGGATACCTCGGTTGGGGGTTTAGGGTTGAGGGGCAGCTTTCGGGTGAAGGCTTTGGGGTTCAGGGTTAAGAGCTTGTAGGGTTGAGGTCTTATTTAGAGGGTTTAAGGTCAGTAGGCTTGGGGTTCAGGGTTGAGAGTTTATAGGGTTGAAGGTCCAATTTAGAGGGTGTTAGGTCTGTAGGGTTCATCTGTTGGGCTTTGCGGAGGGTTGGATGACAGCGCTTCGAATGAGACACGTCCTTGCACTTCCAAAATATGGCCTCTTTCGAGCCCATTATTACAATCGCTTCGAGGCGTGCGAATTAATCCGGGCATTGCATGACCTCGGTGACATCTACATAGCCCCAATGAGCCAGCAAAAAACCAAAGGAGAAATGACGTTGCTAGGTTTGTCAAGACACTTGCCCATGCGCAGCTCCTGTCAAAAGCATGCAAACCCAAACCCTAAAGCCTGAAGCCTTAAACTTCCACTTGCAAAAGACAACGGTCACGAAACGGCCTTTTGGTGGTTGAAGTAAACTATTTTATTCCTGCGCACGGTAGTTCCAACAAAGGGGAACCCTCCGACAAGGAGCTCATTATATTTTGGGTCCATTGCAAATGACTTCTCAAGAGGGGCGATCTTTTTGTGCGTTGCCTGCCTGGCATCCGCAGCGGTCCAAAAGGTTCAAATGCCCAAACATTAGGATTTCAGCTTCGGGTGTCAAGGCTTAGGCAGATTCAGGTACCATAAGGCTGTCAGATTGTAGTATTTGTAGGTAAATACGAAGACGATTTGGGTAACCCTAATCGAAGGATTTAAGGTAGGACCCTATCCGCCATCACGCTGAATGCCTGGTTCCGGGTTACCGGCTCCATGTTTGGGATGGTTAAAAACAGAACTACCTGCACGTACCTTACTATTTTGTAGTATCATGAACATCGAAAACTCTTTGCAACAATAGGTCAATCCAAGGGTAGGTAAGTTCGGGCGTGGTTAACATCGCGCCGCGCCTCGACTTCAACAGCACCTGCTGTGACTAAGCCCTAAATCCAAAAGTATGTAGAATAATTGCCCTTTGCCTATTTCTAAGGGTGTTCGGCTATCATTTCACCCACTTTGGGGGTCACCCTAAACCCTAAGCTTTAAAACCAAAACCTAAACCCCTAAAATGTGTACCAAGTCATCCTCGGCTGCACTCCGTAAACTACTGGGTCGCTGCAGCTTAAATTTGGGGTTTAGGATCTAGGGTTTAGGGTGTAGGATTTCGGATTTAGGATTCAATTAAGGTTCAGGGTTTAGGATTTAGGATTTATCGTTTAGGGTTTAGGGTTTAGGAATGAGGGGTCAGGATTTAGACTTTAGGGTTTAATTAGGATTTAGGGTTGCGTTCAAGGAATTGATACTATGGATATTACCCCCCCATAACAGGGTTTGGGGTTGTATAGGGCTATACAGGGTTATTTAGAGTTATTATATGGGGTTATAAAGGGATACGACTTACTGAGCGTTTTGTACCCCTCAGCCAGCTCCAACTCTACGTTCTAGAGCCTTCAATCCGAAGCTGAGCGCCCTGAACCTTGAGCCCAAATGACCCGGTGATTTCTAAGCGCCCTCCTTCAAGGGCCTAAATATCAGGATCCCTCCTATAATTCCTATCACTAAGCCCTGAAAATGAGCATTTAGGGTTTAGGCTTTGAGCCCCTTAGTCCCTCAGCCTTTGCCCTGAAAGCCCTCAGTCCTGGCAGCTGTTCCCAAGGAAGAAGACCTCCACACCAGGCGTCCGGGTTTTTGCTTCATCGGAACCCTAGTTTAAATTCCTAGGATCCCCTTAGTAGCCCCTATACTACCCCCCTATATAATTCCCTAAGAAAATCCTTTCAGGAGTTTAGACTATAGCTCATGTGAGGTTGGTGGAGGAAAGCTTGAGCGTCGGATTTGCTTAGCCCGTGTTGCCCCGGGAAGCAAAAAAGGGGACCCTCTTGGAGTCCGGAAAATCTTGCGGTAGGAGTGGGGAAGGCTTGGGAATTTAAGCCCAAAACCCTAAACCCAATGGTTGGTGCTTCATGCTAGGGCTTCGAGGGCTTCTGAAAAACAATTCACAGCCCCCATGCTAAGGTTTAGGTTTAGGCACAAGCTGGGATTTCTCCTTTGCAATTTAAAGGTGCGTACCCTTCGGTTTGAACCCCTAAGCCATGGAACATAACCCTTAATTCGGCTGTTCAGGATGCCAAACTGAGGGGCAAGAAGCTTGAGGACACACACTTAAAGTCTTTCCTAACCCGTAAACTCTAAAGGTCTAGCAGCCCCAACCCCTAAACAGGAACGGAACACCTCAAGGAAAAGCTGATGGACATTGAAAACAGAACCCTGTGTGCATAAGAATACAATTACAAGAGGCTTAGGACTGGGTGAAAAATAGAACATACAATGAGACCAACATAGTATTGTGGATTATAAATGGAGCTACTGTAAGGATCTATTCCTCCATTACGCACATAAAACCAGAAAGTGAACCCGAAACCCTCGATCTTTGCGCTTCACTTTAGGCTTGAATGCGGGCTGGGGTTGCAGGGTGAAGTGTTGAGGATCGAAGAACTTAACGCTGAAGGCAGCTGTTTAAGAACTAACGAGATGCTTTATAGTTTAGGGTTTAGGGTTTAGGGTTCAGGGTTTAGGGTTTAGGGTCAACTAAATCCTGACTTCATATCCAGACCTTGCGAGCGCAACAGTAGCAAGTTCACCCAAGAGAAGCACACCCTAGACCCTTCTAACTGCGAAGCTCAATTCCAAAGAGAACACAAAGCGTGCGAATCTCTAAAAGTTGAAGGTCTTCGCCGAATAGACCCTCCAAGATAAATGAGCTTTGACTCCTAGCAGGCCCCAATAATCCCTGTACTCTAGATCCTATACAGCTTAATCTCGAAGCTTAAATCGCAAACCTCGCCTCCTGAACCAATGGACTGCACACCTGAACCCTAAATCCTTACACCTCAAACCCTAAAATCTTATACCTCCGTAGAATCTCTTTGGCATCTGTGATTGGACCGAAACAGCCTAGTACATACCTATCAGCATTCCTAGTCCTGCCCCAAATAACCCTGAACCTTAAACCCTAAGGGTCCAAGTACCCAATAATTAGATCCCTTTAAAGAGAAAAACAGGGAAACATCGGTGTATATAAGGTTTAGGGTTTAGGGTCCAAGTACCCAATAATTAGGTACTCGGGGTTTTGGTAATAGTAATGTTAATGCAGGTTTTGGGTAAGTATATGATCATTATGTACTTGGACCCTTAGGGTTAAACCCTAAACCCCAGTCCCGAATGCCAAACCCTAAACCCTAAACCCAAACGGTTAAACCCCAGTCCTGAATGCCCCGAGGGTTTTGGCGCCTTCTGTGCACCCTCGGAGTCACGGAGGACGACATGAGATCCCCTCGGGATGGGTCCCGCCTGGCTTAGGCCTAGAGCTCCATTTAGAGGTTAAGACTTCATAGGGCCCCATTTTCAGTTTAGGGTTTATAGGGCTCCATTTAGGGTTTAGGGTTTATAGGGCTCCATTTAGGGTTTAGGGTTTATAGGGCTCCATTTAAGGTTTAGGGCCGTTTGGTAGAGCTCCATTTGGTAGTTTCCCAAAATAAGGGGACCCCAATATAGACCCCAAAATACTATAGTCCTTATCATTGGGACCCCTAAAACGGTACCCCTTATTTCGGGAAACCCCCATTTGGAGCTTAAGGTTTATAGAGCTCCATTTAGAGTTCAGGGTTCATAGGGCTCCATTTAGAGTTAGAGTTCAGGGTTTATAGGGCGCCAAAACGGGTCGAGGGTTTATAGGGCTCCATGTAGGGTTTAGGGTTTAGGGCTCCTTCGTGGGGTTTAGGGTTCCAAAGCTAGAGATAAAACCCAAAGTCAATAAATCTTACCTACATTGGGCTAATTGGAGCCTTGAGCTATGAACGTGGTGCACAGGAGTTAAGGCTTATTCTAGGCTTCAAACCATGGGAATCTACGCTCTAAACCCTAAACCCTGTGGGTTTAGGGTCTAAGGCTTTCGGGCTTTAAATTCCGGACCTGGGGGATCTTCAGGCTCAGGCCTTGGTATTTCTCTGTTGCTTCCGGGTTTGCGGACTTATTCTTTATAGTCCCCCTTAGTAGATAGAATATGGCTTTGGGTACATTATAATGAGTTCCCCATGTATCCCATCTACTTCAGGAGGAACTATAACCCTGTAAGTCCTACCTGGACCCCAAAAGTATTTAAAATGATAGCCCTAAACCCATAATCGTAACCCCAAGGCCATTCTTTTACATACTTTTAGGGCTTAGGTAAACCCTAAACCCTCAACCCTTTGCTTTGGAGATTGGGCAGCCCGCATCCCTTCTGCGTGATGTTCTTCTAGGAGGGTTAGGGTCTAGGGTTTAGGGTTTTGGGATTAGGGTTTAGGGTTTAGGGGTCAGGGTTTATTCCATGGAGAACTTGCTTCACCAGAAAGAGCTTCTGGGTCCCGATTGGGATCAAAACCTGTATGCCATATTCGTATTCGGGCCTTAGTATACTAACGGTTTAAACAATAGCGCATGGTGCGGCAAGAGACTTCGAGTACCATCTCCAAGCAAATTTCCCTGCCTACAATGAATAAGCCCCCGCCCAAGTAGAGTACCCTTGTACGACCTCAACCCCAACCATACAGCAGGTGAAATGATGGCACGACACCAGTTTAAACAAAGCCGTTATTCTACAACTTTTGGGGGTTCACGTTCCAATACTGATGACGAAGGAAGCCTAAAGCAACTGGGAAACCCCCAAAGCCTAAACCCTAAAGCCGAAACCCTAAACCCCAAACCCTAAACCCTCAACCCTACCCGGACCCCAAAATTGTGTAAAATAACAGCCCTAAACCCGTAATAACAGCCCTAAAGGCCATTATTTTACATACTGTTGGGGCCCAGGTAAATCCTAAACCCTAAACCCCATTTCCGAAATCCATTCTCCACTTCCAAGCTCAACTAGCCCGCTGCTTGTGCCTGAGTTCTTGAGACAAACGGGTTCAGGCTTTAGAGCAAGTTCTTGGGTACACTGTACCAGGGCTACGTAAGGATTAGTAAGGCATAGCACACGAAATCCTGACACTGAAGGGCCGAGTGCCCAAGCAACAAGTGATTTGGACCCAACTCGGTTCCTATAATGGCACTTTGGGCCCCTTGGGCCCAAACTGCTTCTTGAACCCTTAAAGTGAATTCACTCAAGCACGACTTGAAACACAAGCCAGCTCCACGATGAAGGCCATCTGAGGGGTGTTTATTTTGGTGGCTGATTCAAGTAAGATTCGACTCTTCTCGCGAAATACGATATCGCTATTCTGAATGCTATATGCTCAAGTGCGGTAGACATTAGAGTTCCGTGTTTAGGGAGTCGGGATCCCATGTGCGGA